CTAAATGGAAGATGGGGAGGCTCCATACAATCAGTCCTTGTCCCCAGGAGATCTAGACACAAAGGAGGCACCTCACATGTTATTCTGACTGACTTCAGTCTGCTTTTGTTTTCTCTGGCTTCAAGCAGGCACCAGCCTATCTCACAATGGAAAGAAACTTTCAGTGATGCTCGGGAATAGCGAAGATCAGAACACGACAGCATCCCTCCACAACATCCCTATGTCCCTTAACTCTATCTAATCTATCCCATTTTTTTTTTTTTTTTAAACATTTACTTCGTGGGGGTGAAGGTGCAGGCAAAAGCACATTGTGTGCAGGCCCAAGGATGTCAGTTCTCTTCTCCCACCAAATGCATCCCCAAATCCAACTGGGATAATAAAGCTTGGCAGCAAGGCATTTTAACATTGAGCACCCTAACCTTTTCCATTCGCTTTGGCTGAAGGCCCTCAGCAGGACGGCTTCATGGGTGTCTGAGCCATTCAGCCAAGTGTTCTACATCTACATGTCCTAGGCTTGGTTCAGTTTGCTGCTTGTGATTTTGAATGTCCTAATTTTACAGAGAGCTCCATAAGCCATGTAGTTTAGCCAGGGATTTGTGAGTAAAGGACCAGATTCTTGGAGAGACTTTTTATAAACAGACATGTCAGATATGCCTTTCTTGCAATATTTTCAAATATTCTTTGGAGAGAAAATAAGCCTCAGATGTTAAATTCTGCCCAGAGTCCTAGTCTAAAATCCTGTTAGACATCTTTCACTATTTGTTTTCCTGTGAGCTAATGAAAAGTTCACAAACAAGACCCATCCATTTAAGCTCAAAACTGTCCTGGCCCAGCACTGTACCTGGCTCCTACATGAACATCTAATGAAACCCTTAAAACCTGTGTTTATCCCTAGATACTCACTAGGGATACTGTACATGAAAGTCAGATCTAATCTCTAGAAGACACTCCTGAAAACACATAGCTCACTAGGTCTGGTGGCATCCATCTTGAGACTGGCACAAGAGGACCATGTTCAAGGTCTGCCTGTGCCTGATAGCGAGCTTAGGCAAGGCCAGCACAATAAGAAGTAAAAAGGCTGGGGATGTAGCTCAGCATAGGGGATCACTTGTCTAGAATGCATAAGGCCCTGTGTTGTCTTCATAGTACTGCAAAAGGAAAGAACAAATGTAGACTCCTCCACAGAAACAGGCACAACATGGGAGACCTTCTTGGCACTGCCTCAATGTTGCTTTTCTTCGTTTCCTCAAGATTATCACCAGAAAGAATCCTGGTGCACTTGCTCTGATGTACACCATGGGAACTGCCTGGCCTTTGTGACATTAATGGTATCTTTGGGTACATTCAACTGTCCCTAATTGTGCTTTTGACACTAGCACTGTCATCCCCACATGCATCCTTAAATGAGACTGCTTCAGAACATAAAAACATCTCCATTTCTCATGACAAGGAACTTGCAAACGAGTGGAGTCATTGCCACAGGGACTTTTAAGGGGATGCAGCAAGGATTCCAGTGCTCCAAGTGCTCCACACTCTGGATGAGGACTACAGGCATCTTTTCACCAAGCAAAGCGACACAGGGCAAGAGGGCAGGGATACATACACTTTACATGCTTATTGCCCTCAAAATGAATCCCCAAAAACGGTTTCAAAGCCTATGCATAGAAAAGACATTGCTGAAGAACTATGAATTGACTGACATATACATAATTAAGTGCATGCAAATATATTTTGTGTCACTGAGTCATCTAGAGTTTAATGTGTCCTTAAATACATTGTTTTGCACTAAACAAAATAGCTGTTGGTGGCTGAGCAAAGAAACTGTTCTACAAAGCTTCGGCAAACACAAAGGACTAGCTAGCTATTGGCCACACAAACAAGGAATCACTTGATCCAAATGGAAAGTGGAGGAAGTGAAAGATCTAACAGTATTAAAACCCTAGACAAAACATTGCCATGAAACAGGAGGGCCTTATTTACCCCCATCCAAGCCCAAGGTAGCTGGGTAATTAGTTTTCTTTAAACAACAGCTTGCTTTGCTGACATCTCATTTTTCAGAAGCAGCTGTTAGCCAAATATAGTTCTGTTTATTCACTCCCTAGAAGGCTTGTTTTAAAAAGAGCTTCTTCTGGTAAAAATGTTGCATCGTGTAATTGGGGACAACATGAAAAGTAGCACTTGATGTTTGTGTTCAAATAAACATCTGCTTAAAATCCAGTTTTCCGTTTGTGAGAACCCTTTTATTTTGTGCCATTAGGCACACTAAAGGATTAAGTCTTCCTTGTTTAGGGTCACTGGGTTCCAAATAGGAGAAATTTCTCGAGGCAGAGTTCTTTGTTCTGGCATTGGGGGACCAAGCATGATACTACCTAAGTACAGCTAGTGTCTGGCACATAATTATAAGGAAGCTGGTTTGTCCTCGGTTATTACGAAGTTAGGAAAATTACCCAGAGCACTACTAGGTGACTTACACCTATAATCACAGTACTGAGGAGGCTGAGGCAGGAATACCTTGAGGTCAACCTGGCTGATGTTGAAAGCCTTTCTGATTGTGTCTGAGATCTAGTTAAGTCATCTGTCACCCCCTTAAGGGGGCATTAAATACTGACAACAACCATACTTGGTCTTCAACTTACTATGGCCTTTTCAGTCTGGGAACAAAAGCCCATTTACACTGTCCTCTCAGATCTGATGTCTATCCTCTCCTCAGAAGCTGGGGTCCTTATTTTAAAGTGGGTGGGGGTGGGTTCCAAACCATCACCTAGGTTGGTTGAGAACTCACTCTGACTAGTGTAGTCTCCTGCCCTTTGTTTCCATTGCTGACTACGTACAACTTCCCTACAACTAAATCTTGTCAGATTTCAAACCCATTTTGCACCATTTTAAATCAGGAGTCAGAAAGCCCAAGATCCATTTCCCACTGATGTGTAAGTTAAGTCTGTGGTCTTCTCATGGAAGAAAACAAAGTAATGTTTATGACTTTGATAACAAGGAAATGAGATTTACTATTAAAAGTGGGTGAAGCACACATAGCAGAGATAGGGTAGGAGACACAAAGAGTTTCATTCCGTGTTCTGGGAAATGTGATCACTTTATGTTCTGAGTCATTACTGTTAGTACTTGTTCTTGATTAAGTTTTTAAAGTCCAAAGCTCTTCTAAAAATGCTCAGATTGAAGCAGCCAACTCTTGGGTAGAATAAGAGTTTGGCTGTCTTGCTCACAAAGATACGTGCCATCTCATGAGGGGCTGAGAGCAAAGGCTGTGTGGCTGGGCATGAAACTTCCATTATAAAGATCTCCACACAGCAGTCGTTTTCGTGGTCTATCAACTGTCTGGAAATAGCATGCCACTCACTCCCCCACCTTTGTATTTTTTTTCCAAATACAAAGTAGTGATAGTTAACAAATCAGTACAACTGCTTTTGTTACCCAGGTACTTCCATAACAGAAAACACGGCTGAGGTCATCCCAAGAGGACCGTTTCACAAGACTGTTTTTTTTTTTCCCCCCTATTTTTCCACACTCATCAGTAGGTATTACACATGTATACTCTAATATCTGTAGGTCCTCTGAAAGGTAAATTAAGGACAATAAATACTACTTCAAGCTACAATAGAAGCAATGCTCTATAAGTATATATAATCTAACTTCAATTGTGCTTCAAATTGTAAGTTTTAAAGTCATTTAAATCGTGTCACACTGATCACTTGAGTCAGGACTTGAGATTAAATGTCAGAAACCCAATTCAAATTAAGCATAAACAAACCTGGGAGACGGAGGGGCACCAAATCCCCATCTCATGCCCCTAAGGAAGATACTAAGAGACTCAGTTAAATTGCAGGAACCAGGGCCTATGACCAACCCCCACCCCGAGGCTCTCTAGCCACGTGCCCAGTTTACATCAGCACCAGGGAAACATCATCACCATAGATTTCTGCAGCAAACAGCATACACCAACCACTTACTGTACTACTGATCTGCCCATGTTGGTCCTATGAGAAGAAATTGGTGGCAAGATAGTTAGAAACCTCTAGGCTGGCCTCCAGCACTGGGGTTCTCTAAACACATGAGGGAGTTTCTGAAAACTGGAAGGACTGAACTATTCTAGTGAACTTGTCCCCTCCAAGTAAGTAAGACAGAAATAGAGCATAATGCTATAGGAACTTCCCTGACGGGGGTGGGGGCGGCACTGAGACTGAGCTATTGTAATAAACTGAACAGGCTAAAGGAACAAAACAAGTCAGAGCTCAGTCTTTTCAAGATTCTCCAAACATTCCAGCCTTTTATTCTGAAGAGGAGTAGTTCCAAACATTTCTTTTGACTACTAGCAGACAGATCAGTCTGCATCTAAGAATTACACTGAGCAATATAATTTAATTCCCAAAGTGAGTAGTTTCAGCTGAATATTTGGACAAGGACATTTTTAGACACTGCTAATAAACAACACTGTCAAAGGAGTTTAAGCAGTTTTCCAGTTAGACTTGGAAGCCAAGGCAACCCCTCTAACCAACCTCTGACCACGGCACAGGAGTCCAACTGAACAAACATTCACAACACAATAGTAAGTCTTCATAAATTTCCAAAACTGTCCTTACACTCTGAACAGCCCTTGGTCTCTGTAAAACCGGACCCACTTTGGTACACTTCCATGTTGGTTCTATGTTACTAAAGCCCTATAGATTGTTCAGATCTTGGGCCTTCACATCCACATTTAAGCACAAGTAGAGAAACATGTTTGAAAGGCAGACGGTACAGCTTCCACGCAGCCAGAAACTGACAAGAAAACTTCAGTACCCAGAGGACGAAGGTACTCAAAACACCACTAAAGCTAAATTCAAGCCCCCAGACTGCATGGTCTTGGCTGCGGAATCGCTGCTTTGAGTCTGGGATGACTCAAGTCTCCACTTCCTTGCATCAACACTTCTACTTTTGTTACAGTAACAAACAGCCACCACAGTGAGATCTACACAGAATTATTATACAGAATTATTATATTTAAATTCATATGGAATAATATTTACATGGTAATTAAGTTATATGTATGAAATTAAGAAAAGTCCAGGTGATGGTTTACAAACGAACATAAGAAAAATATACAAGACAGGAAGAGAGCCAACAGGAAATGTCACTATCTGGCCCTGCCACAGCAAGCAGGGACTTCACAGAAAAATATACAAGACAGGAAGAAAGCCAACAGGAAATGCTACTATCTGGCCCTGCCACAGCAAGCAGGGACTCCACAGAAAGCTACATCTTCTTAATCTGATTGTCCAAGTCATCAAAGTACGGGTGCTTCAGGGCCATTTTGCCAGAGATTCGTTTGGCAGGATCATAGACTAGCATTTTCTGGAGAGAAAAAGAAGAAATAAACTTAGAAAATGAATCCTTTAAAAATCCCCTAAGCCGTAGCCTCTTCCAGCAGTGAGCCATGTTAGCAATTTCAGTGAGTAAGGGAACTTAACTTCACCAGCTCACTACCAAGCCTGCCCTCTTACCCTCCAAGATGCTAACGAAACCCATAGATCTCTGTTATAAAATATAAGATAAGCACTCAGACGGCTTTAAAACCAAAACATAAATTTACAGATCACCTAGTTAATTATATCTACCTTGAGAATTACATGTCCATCTGTTATTCACAACATTCCTGAAAAGGTGGTGATCAACTGTTTCATGATAGAGTGTCCACACAATGCTTGTTCAAACCAAAGGAAAACACCCACAATGTGTTTTTATAAACACAGCTACAATAGATGGATTGGATTATTTACAGTAAGCCAATTTATATACTGAAGAGCAAGTATATCTTAATTTGTTCATACACATGTTATCTTCAGAGAATATTAAGTCAATAAAAGACTAAAAACCCATCCTACATCGACCAACAGGGCCTTGAATTACAATGTAGTGAAGGGTAACCTTGAAACTCCTGATCCTCCTGCCTCTACCTCCCAAATGCTGGGATTATAGGCAGGTGCCACTTCAGGTTTGTACAGAGCTAGATATCATACCCAATTTTGTACATGCTGGGCATGACATTGGTGATGCTACACCCTCAGGACCTACAGACACTTGCTAACTAGTTATCAAACTCATGCATTCATTCAGAATTGTATATGAAGGCTTTGAGGACATGTCAGTTAATACCCACAGCAAAAGGAAGAGATATGCTGTACTCCCCAGATTAAGACACATCTCTTCAGGACATTAAGAAACTTGTCCACATAGGTAAATGTGGGGGAAAATAAAGTGAAACCTGAAGCCAAGTCCAACCAATAATCTAGTGGTTTCCAATTGTGGGAAATCTTGCTTCTCAGGGGCCTGCTAAGGATACAGACATTGCTCACTGTAGCAGAGCAGTCTTCTGATACGAGTGCAAAGGACAATGACACTGCCATAATGTCCAGCAACTAACAGGGCCAGGGAGTCAGCTCATCTGGGGAAATTGGTGTACAGAAAGAACTGACTTTTGTTAAGTGAAATGTAATCCTTTATGTTCAAAGACTTGAGAGCTAAGGATAAAGCCCAGCAGAGTCCATGGCCAAGCCCCATGGATCCCCTACCTCCCATCTATGACCCCTCAAAACCATAAAACAACAAACAGGAGCTAGGAACTTTAGACATGACCAGCAGATTGGGCCCAGGATATGGAAATAGAAATTTCTAAGTTAACCAACAATACTAATATGCAAAATGTGTAAAGGCTGGAGCCTGAATAAATCTGTGGCACACATCTATAGATTGTAAGAGCTAAAACACCAAGTGGAACATGTATTTGATTCCTTCTATAAATTAAAATTTAAATACTACTCTACCTACCATAAACTCCCTAAAGTAGGCCTTTAACATCTTTGCATCATTTTCTTAAAAAAAACAACTAACTGGGCGCAGGAATGTAACTAAAAAAAAAAAAAAAAAAAAAAACCAAAAAACTGAAATTACATTAGTCTTTCCAAGCCTTTCTTAGTCCAGACCTGAGAGATGGCGTTTACGCTGTAAAAAAGCCTGAATAACTCAAATTATCAAGCAGTTGTCAACAAAATGCAGTATGACAAACACACAAAACAGCAAGAAAGGAGCCATTCCAATCCAGCAACACACTCTCAACTAATAGGGTGTATGAGTATGAGCCCTGACCCCCTGCAGTGCATCCACCACAGCCTACCAGAACAAGAAGGGACAAAGTCTAGCACTGAAGATTACTCAGGATCACCAGCCCTTCTATCTCAAAGGCAGCTGTCGCTATAAGCACCTAATGCCATATCTAACTCCACGACTCTCTTCCTCCTTCTGAGTCCAGGACTGATATATTCAGTCATTCCTGTGTCACTATGAACACTACGCTCAAACCATAAAGCACAATTGGCTTACTGAGAGCAAATCCAGGCCGTTTTCATCCAGGTTCTTGACATGGGATGCAAGACTCCCCGGCTTCCACTTGGGAAACGTGTTCTTGTAGTCCTGCAGAGACTCTACTTCTGGCCACACTTCGTTGTTAGGTGTCCCCAGAGCTCTGAAAGAAACAATATGCTATCATATACATGGTGCCTTTATTATTTAACCTTACAAGTTTTTAACAGCTTAGGCATAAAACACAATTACCTGAAAATCCTGAAGAGCTGGTCAATCTCTGAATCACCATGGAAAAGCGGCTTCTTGGTTGCCAGTTCTGCAAATATGGTGCCTATACTCCAGATGTCAACAGGGGTGGAGTAACGAGCTGATCCCAGCAACACTTCTGGAGATCGGTACCACAGGGTCACTACCTAGTACAAGACAGAGGACGGCATAAACGTGCCACATACAGCCACTTCACTGGCTTGTCTTTTAGAAAGCTGTGCGGGCCTCACCAGGAGCTTAAGTCAATTAACTATACACAAGAAACTTCTTGCTTTTCAAATCATTAAAGTATAAGGTGTGCTTAGTGGCACACCCCTCTAATCCCAGCACTTCAGCACTCACAAGGCAGAGGCAGGCAGATTTTTTGTGAGTTCAAGGCAGTCTGGTCTACAAAGTGAGTTCCAAGCTAGCCAGAGCTGTATAATGAGACCCTATAGTCTCGAAAGCAAACAACAACAAAGTAGTTACAGCCTGATATGCTCCCCCCAAAAAAGCAGAAAAAGTACTAATAAATAAGATGGTTTAAAAGTAGCACTGTACAAAGTGCAGGTTTTATTTACATGTTAACATGGCAGCTAAAATTAACATGCATAAGACACACATGACAAAAAAAAAAAAAAAAAAAAAAACACCAATTAATGATTTAGAACTAATCAACCATAGTAGTATATTCATCAAAACAGTGATACTATGACCTCTAAGAACAGTAATGGGGTCAACAGCAGTTACAGCCATCAAAGAAAATTCATGGAACTGTGTAAAATGGAAAGGAATAAACAAGGTAGGGCTGAGAAGGCAGGCAGTGGAGACCTTGCAGTGCACACTCATGACCTCAGCATCCAATAGGCAGAGGCAGACATCAACAACTATGCAGAGAATGAGGCCAGCCAAGGCTACAGGAAACCCTGCCTTTAAGAAATCAAAAGAAACAAGGAGGGAAAGGGACAAGAGTCCACCTGATACTATGGACTCCAGGTTCATAACTCCCCAAATATCAATGTTCTTGCACTTTACAAGTCAATGCCCTTTCACAAACACCAGAGGAACCTAGTCAGATGCAGACTACGATCCTGGCTCCAGGGAAGGCAGGATTCACAAGTCCAAAGCCTTTTTCTGCTCCAGTGACTTCATGACCAATCAGGGGAACTTAGTAAAACTTTTTCTAAAAAATAAGAGTTAAGAACACAATTTAGGGGTAGAACACGTGCCTGTGCCTGATGTGTGAGGGCCTAGGTTCAAGGCCCACTACAGAGGAAAATAAACAACCAAATGACATGCCAAGCATCAACAGAACACCAACAAAGCTTGATGACAGGGCCATGGGTATAGACACAAAGCCTGGGGCTCAATCCCTAGCACTCCCTCCCTCAACTACAATTATTGGCTCCTAAATGTATCAGAGCAAGATCAGACAGCAAAACCTGCCTTTTAGTTATCTGAATGATCACAGCAGTGTCCAATCAGGAGAAACCACAGCTCTGAGAAAGATCGATATAGAGAATTCCACCCTTTTGCAAGGCCTCTTCAGGAATGTCCCCTGACAAAAGATGCCAAAAGTTCCAGCTCCAGTTTCCCAAAGTGAGTGTGTGTGTATTTTACATATAATCAAGAGTGACTGTAGAGGCAAGAAGCAATGAACTGATACTATCAGAGCAGAATCTTTTTTCAACCGAGTATTTCTTTCTTGGTATAAAGGCTGCAGGCAGCAATCCAGCTTACCTCGTGCGTATACACTCTAATCGGTATCCCAAAAGCTCTGGCAAGGCCAAAATCAGCCAGTTTGATTGTTCCTTTGTCATCGATCAATAAATTTTGAGGTTTCAAGTCTCTATGAAGAACTCTTCGGGAGTGACAAAACACAATCCCCTGGAGGATTTGATATAGGTAACTCTAGAAAAAACAAGCCAGAAACTTAATCATGCCACAAAACTCTGAAATGACCACTGTTTCTGAAGAAATCATGGTGCAGGAAATAATTATACTGTCAAAAGACCTTCAGGCCCTTTAAGACTAACATAAACTTGTGGGCAGGAAATCTGTTTACAGAGTATACGTATGGAAGGATGTTATCTATACCCACATAAGAACTTAAAATTTTTGTTCCCCATCTTTAAATCACAAGTTAACTTCCTATGAGGAGGTTTCCTCAACACATTCATATCAATCAAGTGCCTTTTCTTGAATAAAGTTGCTTTTTCATTTCTCTCACTTTACACACACACACTTCCTCTTTGGAGACATCTGACTGACTTTGAATAAGTATTTTCCCCACTGAGATATCCCCCCACCAAGCCTTACAATCTAGCTCTGAAAACAAAAGTAATCTTTGTGCTACAAAAAAAAAAAAAAAAAAACAAAAAAAAAAAAAAAAAACAAGAACAAGTTGGAGAAGGGGAACAGAAAAACATTGACATTATTCTAAGTATATATGATCTATTTAATATATGTCTTCAACAAGACATAAAACAAAGTCCAAAAGCCATTAAGAATACTGTGCTGGGTCGTTTCATGTGAGCTTTACACAAGCTAGTTACTGAAGAGAAAGCTTCAATTGAGAAAATTCCTCCATAAGATCAGGCTATAGGCAAGCCTGTAGAGTATTCTCCTGATTAGTGATTGATGTTGGAGACAGAAAGCAGACCATTGTAGTGCTATCCCTGGGTTAACATATATGGTCCTTTGTTCTATAAGAAAGCAGGCTGAGCAAGCTACGAGGAACAAGCCAGTTAGCGGCACTCCTCCATGGTATCTGCCATCAGCTCCTGACCCCAGGTTCCCACCTTGTTTTAAGTTCCTATCCTGACTTCCTTCAGTGATGAACTGCTATATGGAACTGTGGGCAAAATAAACCCTTTCCTCTCCAAGTTGCTTTGGTCATGGTGTTTCATCACAATAGTAATCCTAAGACATAATATTGGCAATGGTGGGTACCACTAACAAACCAAAGAGAGGAGGGAGGCAATAAAAGGAATTATCAACTGTGTGTTACTAAAAAGACCTTTGAAATCATTGAACAGTATCAGTGAATATGCTGTGTATAATTTATGTTAAATATCAAATAACTGTCATTTAACTGAAATACAGTGTTTACATTAACCAAAATGTATTTTTCACAGAATAAGTCCTTGCACCATGCATCAGCCATAGCATATTCTGTCTCCAGCAATTTAACACATAGTCCATAGTGTGCCACTTATGTCCTCAGATACTACTTTTCACTTCCTAGAACTGTCTGGTATCAAGATGGGCAAATGATGACCTTATCTGGGTGGAAAGAAAATAAAACCCTCTCTACTTCTATTTTCTTACAGGTTTTCCAACATTCAAAACAAGGATAAGCCCTACACTCAGAGTGCATAAGTATTAATAAGTCTCCAAACCTTTACCTTAACGAGTGAAGAATCCATGAATTGACCAGGAGGGATAGAATCCAAATACTTCTTGAGATCCATGGACAGGAATTCAAAAATTAGATACAATCTGGAATCCTGCATGAGCACATCCTGAAGACTGAGGAGAAAACAGTATATGAGAGTGCATCAATAAATACTTCTGCCTCAAGATTTCACCCAAGACAGAACAGTTCCTGAGAGCTTCAAGAAGTCTCTCATCAACTACCTTCACATTACAGACTTGAGGAAGACCTGCCTTTCAGGACAGTAATTTATGTCTTCCTATACAGCTGGTCTTTGTTCCTCAGCTCCTCTTTCATTGAAGTAAATTGAACAACTTTAATAGCTGCTTCCTATTTCCATCCCCAGAGAGAGCAATAGTTAGAACCCAGGCCAGGAGTAGAGGCCTGTCACGACTGACACAGATGCAGAAGCCAGGAGGTTAGGACAGAGACTCTTTAAATTCAAAGGCTACCTGGCTAGAATAAGTGCAAGGCCAACCTGGATGATTTTGAAAGATCCTGGCTCAAAAAAAATTTAAAAAGGGCTGCGTGTGGTGGTTTAAGCCCATAGTCTAGGCACTTGGGAAGCTATTATTACAGAACAGCAATAAATTCCAGGCCAGTCTGAATGAGCTAGAGTCAAATTCCATCTCAAAATTCAAAACCCAAAAATTAAGACAGTTCAGTGGTAAAGCATTTTCTTAGCACACCGAGAGCCCTGGGTTCAGTACCAAGCACCACTAGAAATTCTAATGAGTCACTAGACTAGACAACATCCTCAAAGACCTAGCCCAAAAGAATCAATAAAAAAATTAAAACATTTTCCCCATTCCAATCTCTGTAGACCAGGCTGGCCTTGAACTCAATAGATCCTCCTGCCTCTGCCTCCTGAGTGCTGGGACTAAAGGCATGTGCCACCAACGCCCAGCACTCAACCTAGCTACTTTCCTAAAGGGCCTTGGGCTCTGAAAGTAAGGGCTGACAAAGCTCCTCGTGGAAGGGCTTCCTTCCTCCCACAGCTACCATGCCTATTCCTCCAGTCAACACTAATTCTCAGTAGCATGTCTGAAACTCTTTGAACAAGCTACTCTTTATCTACTCCTAGTATCACAATCAACAACAACAACAAAAAAAAAAAAAAAAAAAAAAAAAACAGAACTCTATCCCACTCCACCCAGAAGCTGAGCAAACATAAAAATGTCCACATTACAATTGATCTGAAATAGCACAGAACTGTTTCAATTCAGACAGCCCACCTGACTATATTTGGATGGCGAAGTTCTTTTAATAGAGAGATTTCCCGGATTGCAGTACTGGGCACTCCTTCTTCCTCACTTTCAAGTCTGATTTTCTTCATGGCCACTATCTGGCCAGTAGTCCTGTGTCTACCCTTATACACCACACCATAAGTACCTGAAATGAACAAAGATTTTTTTTTAAAGTGAACCCTTAAGGTGTCACATGATGTGCCTGCTGAGGCCAGACAGGAGGTAACCTCACATATACTTGAACTCTCACTACTTCCAAAATAGAAACTGAAGGTAACTACAGCCTAACCTACACATGGTTTAGGAATAAGACCCATGGTTGTCACCCAAGTCTCCCACAGTTAAGCTTCCTTCATGAGCCAGCAAACAAGTTGAAATTCACCTGTCAAATATCTTGCATGTAATTAAAAACACACTGTAAACTGAAGCTGGGAAAACAGGTCCAAGAAGAGGCACTGGGACACTCTCAGGGTGACTTATGCTTTCCATACTCTTACACATCTCACAATGTAGTCAACAGTCCTTGGTCAGCAGAGTAGGGACAAATACCACACCACACATTTTTATTAAGACCAATAAAGCTGCTATTGCTACAGTAGGAAGCCTCCCTCCCATTGGGAATGTTAAAAACACTAACATAAGTGTCACATGAACAGCAATGGCATTAAGAAAAGACACAGTGGGGTGTGGCAGGCATAGCAAGATGAACTAATTACCTACCTCACACCTGTGCTGCACACACTTCTCCAGATATTACAGGTGTTTAAAAAAAAAAAAAAAAAAAAAAAAAAAACCTTGGGGTCCAGTTTAAAGAGGTACTAAACTCCCTAGCTATATATAAACTTTGTCAAACAGTTTTTCATACCATCAGTATTGACTTCAGAAGTGACTAGAACAACAGGTCTGGTGACACACAGCTGTGATCATAGCTATTTGAAATGCTAAGGCAGGAAAATTCCAAGTCAGTGAGACTTAGTGAGACCTGTCCCAAAAGACAGAGATCCCAGCATGGTGTACATGTCTGTAATCCTATTACTTGGGAAGCTGAGGCAAGGTTAGAAACTGTCTAAAAAACCTAAAGGATTAGAGCAGCCATAGTTTTTACTGGCTCTAAGAATCTGTCCCAATGATCAACTGTTTAGAATAATATTAAGCAGTTTGCTCAGCAGCAAGTTGACGTTCATATAAGCTTTGTTCTAGCATTTTTGTTTTAACTATATATAGTAGTTTGTATTCCTAAACAATTCAGTCATTTTAATATTACTTCAAGTAAAATCCTTACTATTTTGACCAAATGCTAGGTGACTTTGAATAACCAAAACATCCCAGATAAAAAGAACTGTATTTTGTCTGCAAAGCCATAGGAAATCTATGCCTTCACAGCTTTCTGAGAGTGGATATCTGACTTGTATGAAGTAGTTAAGCCATTAGCAAGAGGACACTGAACTGTCCTGATTAGCAAGTATATAACAATCCAATAAAAAATTATTAATTCTGAATTCCTACAGCATTTTTTGTTCCCTCCCAGTGAGTTGCTTCATTCCCTGAATAAAGTGCAGAACTAAGTCATGATGATTAGCAGCTAACATTCAGTAAACACTGACTTAGACACCAAGACAACATTTGAGTCTCAGCTCCTGGCTCTTCTCAATGCATGTCTGCAATAGGGCTAAACAAAGAAAGTACAACCATTTTACTAGTTAATCACTGAACACTATTCATGAATTAAACAGCAGAGACTCAGAAATTCGTGTTTTAGATAAAGAAGTATTTTAAATCATTAAATAATTTAGGGGTCTATCAGACAAGGTTGAAGAGATGTCAAATCATTTCAACAAGTCAGTTTCTTAGCACAGATTACATACAACATACACAGAACCCAAGACAGTCAAGCACGGTGGAGCAGATAAGCCTCTAGGCCATAGAGTTCAGGAAAGAAGGTGAAGGTGCTCCAGGACCTGAGCAGCTCCTGGGAGACATTGGGGCCCTAGCCTTCATGGAGCCTAAACCTCGAGCAACTAAAGGAATATGAAAGCTGATGCAAAGGAAATGGCCAAATCCCCTCAACTAGAACAGCAGTTCTTGATATGTGTGTGGGCCCAGACTCCTTTGGGGGGTTGAATAGCCCTTTCATATTATAAGGGTCACCTAAGACTATAGGAAAACAGGTATTTTTACATTACAGTTCATAACAGTAGCAAAAATACAGTTATGAAGTAGGAACAAAAACAACTTTATGCTGGGGGAGGGGGTGTCACTACAACATGAGGAACTTTATTAAAGGGTCCCAAATGAGGAAGGCTAAGAGCCACCAAACTAGATAGCATTGGCTGGTTTTAGAAAGCCCTACCTGAAAGGATCAAAGAAACACAATTGCAATTGGAGAGATGGGTAGTGGCAGGTGAGGCTGGTGAGGGATGTGGTTACCATGTAAGGAGACAGTTGTCAAGATGGTCACATTGTAACAGAAAACTCCAGACTCCCACCTGAACACTACCTGGGCGGCTCCTGGCTTACTAAATTCCCTGTCTTGGTTTTAATCCCCTGTGTTAAGTGGGGTCTCTGAACAGAAATGAAAATGAAAACAGTGCTCCACAGAACCCACATAGAAACAAGCTCCACCGTTTGCTCCTGGAGAGCTAAGAATGACGTCTTGACTCCTAGGTAGAAATATGGAAATTCTGTTGCAGGGAGAGAAAAAAAAACAAGAAATAGGAAAGGGTTATTTTCATTCCTCATTTATGCCACATGGGCCTAAGCATTGTTCAAAATACTACAGAAAGGAATTGAACAACACATGAAAGCCACTACGTTTAAGTCATTCTTGCCTGTGGTAACCCCACAGAAAATTATTCACCTTAGTTTATCAATTAATATACTCAATTTACATAAAACTAGAATATAGTATTTAGAACTGAGTAAGACTAAAAATATACTGTGAAATTAGCATAATTCTACCTCCCTAACCTTTTCCCCCAAACCCACATATAAGCTATCAGTAGTGTTTCTGAAACACAGGTACCTGGTGTGTTTAGGACCAGAAGTGAAATGAGCTTCAGTAGTAAGTGTGAGGTCCTGTGATCATTAGCAAAGAACACGAATAATTGAATTCTCTTGAACAGAGAGTTATAAGGGAACCATGCCTTATTGTTCCCGTGATAAACACCCAGACAAAAGCAACCCATGAAAGGGTTTATTTGGCCTCAGAATCTGGGTCACAGTCCAGCAGAAGCACAAGGCAGCTGAGAGTAAGGCTTACTATGGCTGGGCTCCCTCTCTCCACTTACAGTCCAGGATCTCAGCTAGGGAATTGTGCCCACAGTGGGAGAAGGCCTCTGCCTACTTCAATATAGTCGAGATAATACCCTACAGCAGTGCTCAGGGTGATTCCAGATTCTGTCAAAGTGACCACTAACACCAACTAAAACAGCACACTAGTGCAGGTAAGTACAAATACATCAATGATTACACTCAAAAAATGCTTTTGTGTTACACAGTAGCATTGTTGAATTATTTTCAAAAACTTTATACTAAAAACACTCACCTTCTCCAATTTTCTCTATTTTGATATAGTCTTCCATAGTTACCCAACAGGTTATGACAGACCCTAAAACAAGGGCAAACAGTGTGATTACATGCTACAACCTCATCAGTAAGGTATCACATACAAAAAGTGTTTTCTACAGTGCCTTCTACATAGCCCATAAATAAGTTATCAAAATGGTATTATCAGTGTTTAACTACTCTTGTGATAGCTTTCTGAGCCTTCTCGGCTCCCAAGATATTGCATTTGCATATTCTATACAGCATAGTACTTAGCCTCTTCGAATTCCACAAATTAAGCACACCTCATTAAGGAAAAAGGCCTGTCATCCCAGCTACTGAGGAGGCTGATATAGAAGGATTAAAAGTTCAAGACTAGAACAATTTAGTGACAGTCTCAAAATATAAAAAGGAATAAGGTTTTGGGTTTGATTCCCAGGACAAAAAGTTAAAAAGCAAACAAAAATATAATAATTTTAATGCCAGTACATGCTAATTCTACCCAACCATTTCAAGACACACTGCTACTGTACTAAATTTGTATTGTTTTAATTTTCTGAAAATCCTAAAAATCTATGCGAAGGAAGTCACACATGATGTAATCCAATCCTAGCACAAGGGACGCTGAAGCAGAAGAGCAAGTTCAGGGCCACCCTGTGGCCTAAATAACTGTGACACTATCTCAAAAGGAAATGAAGTACCACCTTAAAGTACAACCACTAGAAATAACATTTATTACAAAAACATTTATTTTAAAAGCATACAATCCACTTGAGAAGCAGGAATGCTCAGCCACTCAAGTGAACTGAATGCCTTCAAAAAGCAGCCATAATCAATCCCACTCAAGACACTCAAAGGGGAATGTCCATAAGCACAGAATAAATAGTGTAAGGTACTGGGCTGACTAGCTTTATGTCAATGTGACACCAGCTAAAGTCATCTGGGAGGAGGGAACCTCAATTTTAAAAATGCCTCCATAAGATGGAGGCTGCAGACAAGCTTGTAGAGCATTTGTTTACTGATTGATGGGGGAGGGCCCAGACCATTATGGGTGGTGCCATTCCTGGGCATCCCATGGTCCTAGATTCTATAAAAAAAAAAAAAAAAAAGCAGGAGGAGGTGAATCTCTGTGAGTTCCAGTCCAGAGCTAGTTCCAGGACAGGCTCCAAAGCAATATAGAGAAACCCTGTCTGGAAAAACCAAAAAAGAAAAAAGCAGACTGAGCAAGAAAAAAATCCTAGTCCAACAGCGGCTACTACTCCAGGTTCCTGCCCTATTTGAATTCCTTCCTGTCCTGACTTCCTATGATGATACTGTGATGGAGAAAGTCAAATAAACCCCCTCCACCCCAAGTTGCTTTCGTCATGGTGTTTCATCACAGCAATAACTCTTAAGAAGGTGCCATTTGCACAGAATTCTAATCACACTTGCAAAGTGTCATGAACATAAAGAGGGAGAAAAAATCCTTGCCTCACACAGCATGGTGGGAAAAAAAAATGTAAGCACCTTTTGCCGTCAAAGCCAGATCAGATCTTTTACCAAGATCACTGAATAGCTGACATTTCTTGAGTTCCATTCCTGACAGATTCCCTTCCAAAGTAAAATGAACCCAGTGAAGTATGGTGATGACACAGCCTGGAATCCCAGCTCTCACGACTACACACACAGTCAGTGGCTAAAAAGAAACTCAATTATTCGTACTTCTAAGAAATTACAATGGCCATCAGAAAAATCCTTTTCCTTCAAATAGCCATACGTAACATAACCTTGGTACATTAAAACTTTTCAGTCCCCTTTGTACATACAGCTAAGAGTTAACGCATCTTCAAAGATGGGCACATTTTTTCCAGTCTCCTGGGGCTGGTGCTATTAGCTGCCCAGAGCATCTCTCCAGCCCAGACCTTCCAAGTTTGGGGGGGATGGTGATACGCACCAGAACCTTCAGTAACAGCTTTTTTTTTTTTTTTCTTTTTAAAGACGATGGATATTAAATCATCAATGTTTCCACCTCTTAGCCAGGATTCTGTCTGTGGCTGCCTCCACGCACAGACAACTGAAAATAAGGAACGATCCTACGCTCTTTCTTGGCCCTGAACCTTCATACTCATGTTTTTAAACCACAGGGACTCCCGCAGCACTCACTGAGGGCCTCCGGGGGCAGCTGGCGTGGTGCAGCCTAGCTCTTGCACACAGGCAGGCCAACAGGCCCGAGGACACGGCTAAACACCCCGCCCACACCCGGAGCTCCAGAGAGGCCCTGCGGGGCTGCAGGAACCCGGGGCTCGGGTGAGGCCCTGCGCGTCCACGGGGACCCCGAGCTCAGGTGAGGCCCTGCGCGTCCACAGGGGACCCGGAGCTCAGGTGAGGCCCTGCGCGTCCACAGGGGACCCGGAGCTCAGGTGAGGCCCTGCGCGTCCACAGGGGACCCCGGGCGCGGGTGAGGCCCAACCCGTTCACAAGAGACCATGCCCTCACGTGGAGGTCCTACCCGTCCACAAGGGGACCCTGGGCCACACGGAGGTCCTGCCCGTCCTCACAGGGCTCACGTGGAGGGCCCGCAGGGCCTGCCCGCACCCGGCCCGCCTCACGCCATACCTCTCTTGTTCCCGCGGCCGTCACACCGCAGTTCCGGACGGCGCGGACACAGCGACTCCCGGAGCTCAGAGGCCGAGTGCCAGCAGTTTCAAACTCACCGCGATAAAGCGCCCGGGATCCACCAATCAGGTTGCACGTAGACGTTCAAAGGAGCCAATCATAACCGAGTTACGGTGGGGCGGGGCCGCCTGGGAGCCCAGAGCGCGAAAGGGAGCGGAAACCGCGGCTGGAGGAAAAGCAGGAGGGCGGGCGCCAACTGACTCTGAGCTCTGCTTTCCTTCCAGTGTCGTCCTCCTGTTTCTAGACAGTCTGATCTAATTTTTTTCTCTCTCCTCTCTCTCTTTTGTAACTTCTTTCCAGTAGTAACACAATTCAAAGGTATTGAGTTGAAACAGCTAGCCACAAAAGTGATATTGACATAACATAGAGTCTCTTTTACTGCTAACACGTAAAATTACTTTGTGATTATGCTTTTCAAAAATATGTATTAAGCTGGACATGGTGGCGAGCGGCTCTGAGCTCTTCGGAGGCAGAGGCGGGCAGATCTCTTGAGTTCGAATCCAACCTGGTCTACAGAGCAAGTTCTAAGACAGCCAGGGCTACAATGCTGGTTTTGTTAATTCTCCTCAACCCTTCTCCCTGTACCCCTAGTCCCCTCACCATGTAGCCCCACCCCTCCCCACCCCCAGCATCCCATGTTACTTGTGCCCAATCCACAGCTCCTGTGGGAAAAGGCTTATAAGCACTTATACATGAACACCATATGCTAGGATCCGCATATGAGAAAGAACACACAGTCTCTGCCTCTGAGTGTGTGTGTGTGTGTGTGTGTGTGTGTGTGTGTGTGTGTGTGTGTGTGTGTGTGTGAGTGTGTATTGCCTTCATGTATTTTCTAGCTCCATCCATGTACCTGCAGATTTCATTGATTATGGTTTTTTCAAACGGCTGATTGGTTGGCTGGCAGAAGGATCACGCTTAAAGTAAAGGAAAGGGAGATAAGAAAACACTGAAAGACACCCTCAAAATTGAAAAGATAAGTGCCTGTCTGTCCCTGTGATTTTATACATCTGTACCCACGATTTGCTTTTATATTGTACATAAAATGTTGTACATTAAACTTTTAAAATATCTCCATTTAAGAATCTTAAATATTCCTTCAAAAGCAAAGCTTCACAGTACTATGAAAAACAAAAAGGTATCTATTTTATATGCTCTAACTCAGTATCAAAAGCCCTAACTCATCACCACCCTCCAACTGCATGCCTCAATGAGGCTGTGCTCTACCTTGAAAAGATTCTTTTCCTTTTTGTTCATTCGTCTGAGACAGGGATTCTCTGTGTAATAGCCCTGGCTGTCCTGGAGCTCTATTTGTAGACCAGACTGGCCTCAAACTCAGAGATCTGACTGCCTCTGAATGTTGGGATCAAAGGCATACACCCATCACCATGCCTGTCTGAAAAGATTCCTAAGTCCTCAAGAAAGAAAATAAAGCAGTGTCATGTGGGGTTGGAGAGATGGATCAGCAGTTAAGAGAATTTGCTGAACAATTTTGAGGATTTGGACTCAAATTCTGTTACCCACAAAACAAGCTAGGCATCTTATAAATGTCTATAACTTCAACTCCAAACAACTCCATGCTCTCTTGTTGCCTCCATAGGTTTGCATAGGCATGCACACACACACACACACACACACACACACACACACACACACACACACACAAATAACTTAAAAAACAAACAAACAAAAACAGTATGCTAGAGCTGAGGATAATGAAAGACAACCCAGATAGAGTTGTATTAGGATGAAGAATAAACTAGTTTAGCACATGCAGTTTTGTACTGAAAAAAAGTTTTCATACAAAAAAAAAAAGATTTTAGTTTTTTGAGACAGGGTTTCTCCTTGTAGCTTTGGAGCCTGTCCTGGAACTAGTTCTGTAGACCAGGCTGGAGTCAAAATCACAGAGATCCATCTGTGTCTGCCTCCCAAGTGTTGGGACTAAAGGTGTGTGCCACCAACACCCAAATATACAAACTATTTTGATCATGTTTTTCCTTTTCCCAATTGCTACCAGATCATCGCTCCCTACTCACCCAATTTTATACTAGCTATCCCTCCCTCTCCCAAAACAACAAAACAAGAAACAAACAAGCAAAAGACTAATAAGAAAAAAAATGACAAAACAAAACAAAGTGGAACAAAGGCCATTAGAAATACCACCGAGTTCACTTTGTCTTGGCCAGCTACTCCTGGCTGAAACCTAGTTGATAAAAACCCAGTGACACTCCTTTGGAGAAAACTGACTTTCCCTTTGCCATTACTTTCAATTGCAGATAGCTTTTTGATTAGGAGTTGGAGCCCATGTCTCCTTGCCCCTTTCAGTGATGTGTCTTCTTCTGGCTTGAATGTATGCAGGGAGGTCCTGTGTGTGCTGCCACAGTCTCAGTGAGTTCAAGCATGTATCAGTCCTGCCTGTTGATCTGCAAGGGCTCAGTTTCCTTGGAATCATCCATCAGCTCTAGCTCTTACAATTTTCTTGCCTCCTCTTACACATGAATCCTTTAGCCTTGAGGGTAGAAGTTTGATGTAAACATCCCCTTTAGGATTAAGTGGCTCCAAAGTCTCAATATGGGCATGTTGTCCAATTATGAGTCCCTGTGTTAATTCACTTCTAGCACAAGAAACTTCTCTGGTGTGAACTAAGCCAGGCACTATTCTATAGGTATAGCAGCCTGTCATTTGCAGCCATTTTATTGCTATGTTCCTTTAGCAGAATAATAGTATTTGGTTTTCCCATAGGTCTATGACCTATCTAGTCTTGTCCATTTTAGCTTTGTCAGATATGGGTTCAATCCATGGAGTGGGCTTTAAATCCAGTCACAATATAGTTGATTACTTCCATAACATTTGTGCCATTATTGGACCAGGGTATCTTACAGGAAGGTCACTGTTGTAGGTCACAGGGTTTGTAGCTGGGTGATACCATATGCATTAAAACAACAACAACAACAACACTGGAGATTGGAGAGATGACTCAATAGTTAAGATCATTTATTGCTCTTGGAGGTGACCCAGTTGTCATTCACAGCACCCATATAGAGACTTACAACCATCTGTAACTCCAGTTCCTGGAGATCTAATGCCCTCTTCTGATGCCTAGGGAACCAGGCATCACATGTGCCCTTATGTACTTATAGGCAAAGCAATGATACACCTAAAATAAAAGTAAAAATCCTTTTAAAATAAAAAAAACTGTTTTTGTTGTTGTTGTTGTTTTTGGTTTTGGTTTTTCAAAACAGAGTTTCTCTATGGCTTTGGAGCCTGTCCTGGAACTACCTCTTTAGACCAGGCTGGTAACAAACTCACAGAGATCTGCCTGCCTCTGCCTCCCAAGTGCTGGGATTAAAGGCATGAAAGTTGGGGAGGAAAGGGTTAATTTACTTACATTTCTACATTGTAGTCCATCATGGAAGAAAGTGTGACAGGCACTCAAACAAAGCAGGATTCTAGAGGCAGGAGCTGATGCAGATGCTATGGAGAGATGCTACTTACTGGCTTGCTCTCCATGGATTGCTCAGCCTGCTTTCTTATGTAACTCTGGACCACCAGCCCAAGGATACCACCATGGACAATGGACTGGGCCCTCCTACATCAATAACTAATTAAGAAAATACCATACAGCTAGATATTATAAAGTCCAGACTGGCCTCAGACTCACAGAGATCTACCTGCCTCTGCCTTCCAAGAGCTGGGAGTAAAGGCATGCACCACCAACTCCCGGCTATGGAGGTATTTTCTTAATTGAGGTTCCCTCCTCTCAGATGACTCTAGCTTGTATCAAGTGGACATAAAACTAGCCAGCACAAGAAGTGAATATATCACTCTGGTAGAACACTGCCAAATATTCATAAGACCCTAGGTGATCCCTAGTACTACAAGAAGAAAACAAGATTTAATATCACCTTTTATAGAAGGAGGTGCCACCATCATCTGCCCCTATATGAATGTTCTGCCTTGACGATGTCTTGCTCTTGGGTGACAGAGGATTTGGGAATCATGATGATAAAGGTAAGAGACCCTGTGCTGACTGTACTGTTTCTTGTTTGTGTTTTGCTATTTTTGTTTCTGCTTATTTATCTTTGCTCATTGCTGAAGTTCAAACGCATGGCCTTAGGCATGCCCATGCTACTTCTCAGCTATACCCCAGTCCCTATCAATTAACTTTTAGGGTTCGTTGTTGTTGTTGTTTTGGTTTGGCTTGGTTTGGTTTGGTTTTTTCGAGAAAGGGTTTCTCTGTGGTTTTGAAACCTGTCCTGGCACTCACTCTTGTAGTCCAGGCTAGTCTTGAACTCACAGAGATCTGCCTGCCTCTGCTTCCTGGCATGTGCCACCAATGCCTGGCTAACATTTACTTGTTAAGTTAAATGAAAACTGACTACTCTCCAGTGCTAGAGTGGTGTAGGCATCACCTATTAGTTTAAGGTATTCAGCCTACGTGTGTGTGTGTGTGTGTGTGTGTGTGTGTGTGTGTGTGTGTGTGTATGTGTGTCTGTGTCTGTGTCTGTGTAGTAAGAGATAGTGTGATGGTTTTAACCTAGCCTCACTTAAAGGGCTCTCTCTCCTCCCACTGCTCTTTCTCACTCTGGGAAACAATTTGCCCCTTAAGTCTGCTTTCTTACAGCAGTTCAGAAGTCAATCTTTGTTGTTTCTTTGTGTTCCATTTTTAAAAATAAAACAGTTTGAGAAATGTTTTCTTGAAAATATATGAAAGAAGTAGTCCCTATATGAAACAGGAACTTGGCTAGGCATGGTGGCACACATCTTTAACCCCAGCAGTTGGGAGGCAGAGGAAGGTTGATCTCTGAGCTCAAGGCCAACCTGGTCTACAGAGAGAGTTCTAGGAAGCCAGGACTACACAGAGAAACAAAGACAAAGAACAAACAAATGAAAAACAAAAACACAAACAAAAGAATGGGGTCTTGGGATGTGATGTAGCTTAGAGGTGGGGTGCTTGTTTATCATACACAAAGCTTTGTGTTCTAGACCTGCACCCTACCCCCTCCAAAAGCAGAGCTCAGATAAACACATGTGCATGGGAAGAAACCTCTGAAAAG